AATGAGTGGCTGAGACAACAGAGCAAGGTCACTGATGTTATCGAGCGCGTAACCAGACTGAAATGGGAATGGGTGGGTCATGTGGCACGCAAGACAGATTCGTGGACCAAGCGGCTCCTTGAGTCCTCCAGGAAGACCTCAGATGCGTTGGGACGATGACATTAAAAGAACAGCAGGGAAACATTGGCTTCAAGACGCACAAGATTGTGACAGGTGGCGTAATTTGAAGGAGGCCTACAACACCCAAAGGGTTGAGAGAGAAGAGAGCTATAAGAGAAAGAGTTTTCGTAACGCGTTCGTCAGCTTACTCCCCAAGTCAAGCGTGCGTAAAGAAATTTCACTTAAAAAAAAAATACATACAGTCGGATGGAGAACTGCCTCCTTTTGTTTTTATCGACTCAAAATTATGAGCAACCATAGATAAATGATTGGTAGCGAGAACAATCGAAATTTATCTATGTGAGCAACATCAGCGTTGACTTTTCGGCGGGATCGGGAAGCGTCACTTTAGCAGTTTTGTTTTTCTGGTTAAAAATTGTATTGTGGCGGATGTTAGTAAATAAGTAATAATGGTGGATTATTAATCACTAAGTGTTCGGGAACACACACAAGTGTTGGCAAGTGAAACAAAATAGCGGAAAGTGTCTTTCGACGTTCCCTCAAGAAGTCCACGGGGAGGTTCCAGTAAATCCCCACACATTTACTGAAACATAGGGAAAGGGGGATTGACTTGACTGCCACTTACTTTGACTTGATTTATTACTTTGACCACGAGTGCTATAGCATTTGTAAGCATTTTAACACTTGACATTGGCTAAAAGCACTAGCCGTGCGAAGCTATTTAGAAAAAAAAAACATCAGTTTTGCTCATAATTTTATTAGTAGTTGCCGTGATACGTACGAATATAACGTATATTAACTATATTTTATATTCCCGTATGAAACTTTGTATACTAATAATGTATGTTCTATTCTCGGAGTCGGGCGGGCGCCGGGCCGCCATTCAGCCAACTCGTCTCGCCTAAGTTTGCATAATTAATACTCGAACATAATATCATGACGTGTCAGTCACTCCGTTTGTGTGCTAAAACATTATACACGTTATTTTGTGGTACGGTAAAGGTTAAGCGGGCAAAGTTATATTTAAACGATGCTTTAAAACTTAAGTGCTCTATGCGTGATTGATTACCGATTAACTGTTTAAAGCATGTCAGAAATATTCTTGATAAATAACCTATTTATAACTATCTCAATTTAGTCATATTTTTTATTTTTTAAGCATGCACCTGCTCGATGTTTAAAGAAAATTTTACTAGAAAAAAATCCACGAGGACCAGGCAGCAGACGGGCCTCGAACCCGCACCCTTCGCTATCCGGGCGAGCAGTTACACGCTTAAAAAAATAAAATTATGACTATAATTGCTATTTCTTCTTTCATATGTTTAATACTTGTAAAGGTATTTATTTGACATTGTGGATTACAGCTTAAGAAAGGCTAGAAGGAATTCGACACGGCCATCAGGGCTGCGGTAGCATAAATGGTCAGTGCATTCGCCCACATAGCGAAGGGTGCAAGTTCGAGTCCCATCACACCCCAATATTTTCTTTATCTCAATTTAATTTATTATCTTAGTATACATGATAACATTGCTCGCACGGGTGTATACATAAACCTTACATTTTTTCGGGGTATATTATTAATATTTGCTTAACTATTTATTTGAGGTATGTAGAGCTTAACCTCACATATTTTTTTGGTTTTTATTTGAAATTAATATTGCTAAATAATAGATTGATAAACGCACAATATGTAAGTACATATAACACAATTAATTTTACTGTAATAATGTCATTCAAAAAATGTTAGTGTTCATCTACTTAATAAGTAATAATATTACTTATTGGTTTCCCATACAAAATAAATCCTAATCCTAATCCTTTGCAAACATTTCCTTTCCTAACCTAGAACGTTATGAAAGGAAATGTTTGCAAAGCATTTATAGCCAGGTAAGTAACTAGGTAAAGTAATCACATTAAGTACAACAAACTTAATAAGAAATGAAAGTCAACTGAAAGTTTGCGGGATTTTGACTGTTAAGTTATTGACGGGCAGGCTTAGGTCTATACCTATGAAATTGCTGTTCTGCCGTACTGGCTATTTCAAGCCCATTTTTTTCTTTTTTTATTTGCTAAGCCCGTATTACAGAATGACAACTGAGTGTTGATCTTTACTTGAGTACAGTTAGAAAGGGATGTCGCTATGTGTTATATATAGCGACATCCTTTTCTATGCTCAAGACTAGATCAATCACTGATAATCTTTCTTTAATACAGGCCTAAGTATGCTAAGTTAAAATTTTAAAAAATCTCTATAATAAATTAGTTATCTAAAACCAACTATGCCACGGATTGTTTATTTGGTTTGACCAATCATAAAAAGAGTATCTCGCAAAGAAAACCTGTAACCTACATTTTAATCAAACTGAGCAGCTAATTAACGTTTAAGAGTGCGGGCGAGCAGAAACTTTTTTTTTATATGAGGTGCAACAAATTACCCCATCCCCCAGTGGTGCTATGCTGTAAGAACTAACTCAGTTTTCCCTGCGGAATTCGCCAGTATGGTTTGAAATTTATTTGATATTCGTATTCTTATTTAAATCACACCGCTGATTTCGAAAAGCACTGCTGATATTAAGTGTAAGTGGAGTCAAGTCTCTGAATGTCGGCCTCATAACAAAACTCAGAGTCGCGCAGCGTGCTATGGAGAGGGCTATGCTCGGTGTTTCCCTACGTGATAAGATCCGAAATACGGAGATCCGTAGAAGGACCGGTGTGTACGACATAGCCCGAAGAGTTAGCACGCTGAAGTGGCAAAGGGCAGACCACATCGCTCGAGGATCTGACAACCGTTGGGTAAGAAAGGTCCTCGAGTGGCGACCACGTACCGGATGACGCAGTGTAGGGCGGCCCCCAATAAGGTGAACTGACGACATTGTCAAATGTGCTAGGAGCCGCTGGACGCGGATAGCGCAGGACCGCACATTGTGACGTTCTATGGGGGAGGCCTATGTCCAGCCGTGGACGGAGAAAGGCTGACGGATGGATGGATGGAGTCAAGTCGTGAAGATAAGCGGAAGGTGTGCTGCTCCAGCCATCCTCACCTAGCCGGCCTGAACCCAATGCCCTACCCCGTGGAGCCCTGGAACCCTATACACCAGCAGAAACACAACACCAAAAGATTGTGTTATTTTACTGTAATCTTGTGTTAGGTGGAAGTTGCTTCCCCAGACGGGCGTTTCAGTTCGAGCGGCAAATCCGCATTGAACTATTTCTCTCAATAGCTGGATAATTATGTTTGTTTAATAATTCTTATATTATTTACCATCCATTCTGTATGACTGACAATAATAAATAATTAAAAGCAATTTTGATAGTGCTTTTAATCTAAATGCAATCTATATATATAAAACTCGAAGGTGACTGACTGACATAGTGATCTATCAACGCACAGCCCAAACCACTGGACGAATCGGGTTGAAATTTGGCATGCAGGTAGATGTTATGACGTAGGCATCCGCTAAGAAAGGATTTTGATTAATTCTACCGCCAAGGGGATAAAATAGGGAATGAAAGTTTATGAAACTTTGACAATTTTAACCGATCGGGCTGAGACTTTGCATGCAGGTATAAGAAGAATCATAGATGAATGTCATTGTGTATAATACAAGCCTGAGAACAAAAACTGTAGTCTACACTTCAGCTCTACACCGAAGCGAGTATTTTTGAAGAATGATAGTGTTAGTTATTTTTTATAATTTTAATTAAGAGAATCTATCTGTTTGTCAATCAATTATCATGAGTGAACTGACACATAATAGGTATTTGCGAATTTTATTTTATCATGCCATAGTTATTCTAATAAAATTTAAGTACCAATAAATAACTTCCTAATGAATATTCATAAAATGTAGAAAAAATATTTAAAACTTCACTAACTAACCAACAATTTTAATATTTATACAATTGAAGTTTGCAGTTTTAGGGTTTCGTATCGAAAAGGTGACAAGAACTGGCGGTCCGTGAGTGAGCTGAGGAGCTCGATGGTGCACGTGGTTAGCGCGTTCGGCTGCGATCGTTGAAGTTGAGCAACTTTCGGAGTGGTCGGTCAATGGATGGGGGACCAAAAATTTACTATCTCAAGCTTTACCGCGCTTCGGAAGGCACGTTAAGCCTTTGGCACCCACCAATCCGCACTGGGCCCGCGTGGTGGGTTATGGCCCAATCTCCCTATTTCATTCATATGGAAGGCATATGCCCTAGCAGTGAGGACATTAATAGGCTGATGATGAGTGAGTTGAGGGGCATTCATCAACAATATTCACTTTCGAGACATGGAGGTAGGCCAAACACAATGCCACGGGTGAACGATGCGAACTCCATAACTCTTCCATTGCTAAGTAGATCAACCTTGCTATTTCCCGACATGTCAATTCTAACAGAAACCTTTTTAACTAAGTGTAACGGACAGCCCCATAGGCAGAAGATGCATGGAGGCAGAAGAAACAGCCACTCATTTTCTGCTATATTGCAATGGAGCGACAGAATACCGGGCGAAATACCTCAGCTCATCGGGAAACCTCCAAGAGGTAATCACCAATGTGACGACCATTCCTGGCGAAGCTGGGCTGGCTGGACTGACTTCGGCCACACTCCCTACAACGACAAGTTACAGAAATGCTCGATGCAAAAAAAAAGGATTGGTAAGAGGCCTTGTTAGGTTTTTAGTTGGTTGCCCTCCACGCTTCCCGTCACCCTCGGCGTCTTTTGATCGACTTTAGTAAAAGCTGTATTACAATTATGTATATTGTTATTATTAACCGTATCATGGTACGGAACTACTTGCGCTAGAGTCCTATTCGAACTTGGTCGTTATATTTTTCCACAATACACCTATAAATTCAGTTACCCGTTGCCGTTAATAATAAATTCTTACAATAACCATGTTTACTACAATAGGATTTTTGTTAGTTCTACAACTATTAGTGAACTCAGAGTGTTTCGTGGTCAGGAGTCCTGAAACCAAGAACAGGAAATGGATCGAGCAGCACTCGAAAGACCCCTTAATTCTCACGCCCTACGTAGAGAGCGGGAAAATAAAAGAAGGCCAAAAATTATCACGGGTTCCTGTCACGGAAAAGCTGGGTATCAAGAGCTATTCCGGTTTCTTCACCGTCAACAAGGCCCACGACTCTAATCAGTTCTTCTGGTACTTCCCTCCTATCAATGACGATAAAAAATCACCTGTGCTGGTGTGGCTGCAAGGGGGACCAGGAGGGTCTTCACTCTTTGGGCTCTTCGAGGAAAACGGACCTCTTATAGTGAAGAACGAAACGTTTGAACGTAGGCAGTATACATGGGCGTTGAATCACCACCTCATCTACATAGACAACCCGGTCGGCGCTGGATTCAGCTACACGAATAACTCGAGCGGGTTCTGCACCAACCAAACGCAGGTCGGGGACGAACTATATTCCACCGTCGTACAATTTCTGCAACTCTTCCCGGAACTGCAAGAGAACAAATTCTTCATCTCCGGCGAGTCGTATGCTGGCAAGTACATACCCGCTCTCGCTTACAAAATACACAAAACGAACCCCACAGCTAAAATCAAAATTAATCTATCGGGTATCGCCATCGGAAACGGTTACAGCGACCCGGAGCACCAACTTTCCTATGGAAAATATTTGTATCAACTCGGCTTAGTCGACAGGATTCAATCTGAAACCCTTGAAGAAAACGAAATTAAAACGGTACAATATATTCACGAAAAACTATGGCAAAAAGCGACAGATGCGTGGAACGATATGATGAGTTTCTTTGCAATCAAAGCTGGATCCATTAATCTCTATAATTATTTGCACACTGATGAGTATACTAATTCGACTTGGAGAATACTGGATAATACTGATGTACGTCAATCTATCCATGTCGGAGATCTGCCGTATAGCGGTTTATCGAATGAAGTTTACAGATATCTGAGAGGTGATATGATGAAATCTGTGGCTCCCGAGATGTCTGAGCTCTTGGATTATTACTCAGTACTCATTTACAATGGACAGTTGGACATAATTGTTGTCTATCCGCTGACTGTGAACTATCTTAGTCATTTAAACTTTACTGCAGCTGAGGATTACAAGAAGGCGGAGAGGCATCAATGGATGGTTGGTGACGAGTTGGCAGGGTATGTGAAACAAGCAGGAAATCTTATCGAAGTCCTAGTCAGAAATGCGGGTCATATGGTACCCACGGATCAGCCAAAATGGGCATGTGATATGATAACGAGATTCACTCACGGAGAACCGTTCAACTAATGCAATAGAACTGTGTGATGAATAAAAGGAATAGGTACTTAATTTGCGAAATAATGTTGATATCATATTACCAGGATTCTAGTATTTAAGGTTCCGTACCCAGAGGGTAAAAATGGAACCCTATTGCTGTCACGCTGTCGTCTGTCTGTCTGTCTGTCCGTATGTCACGGGTCTCTAGATCGTAAATGAAACGAGTTACAGAACTAAACTTTTAGTAATGTATGTAAAATGCTTGCCCAAAGCCAAATATTTAGTTAAAAATTCAATTCAACTGTTTTTCATGGGGGTCCCATGTGTGGGTTTTCATACATGAAAAGTAGACTTATTTTTTTCTTCTTTACCCCATTAAGTGACATATCATTGTCTAGAGCTCGTTGAGTAAGATATAAATATAATTTTCATTATTTTTCATTTTGAATAACAAATAGGGGAAAGTTGTAATTTTTAGACCATTTTTGTTACGGGGTCTAATTCATAATCGAAACTAGTTAGGAACGTGAAATTTTGGTATATGATGCTCCATATACTGTATTTAAACAACAAATTGTGATGAAAACAAACAAATGATATTTCCTTTCGCGGTTTGCAGTACCACTTGGCTGGAATTTTTTTAATTTATTTGACTGAAGGTTTTAAAAACACTTTTTGTGGCGATTCTCATACTGGACAGTATCCTTATTATCCAGTACCCTTAGTACGAGTTCGAGCTCATGAAATCTATCATAGTTTTCGTAATTGTAAATTATGTTTCTATGTCCATTTTGGTGAAAAGTAACCAAATATACTTAAAATTTAAGAAGACGCAAATAATTTAATTATAGAATTTTAGTTAGATATCTCCAAAAAATAATGTACAAATCTTGCCCCCTGACGATTCATTACAGTTTATTAATGTCTCCACGGTTAGGGCCTCCTCTATGGATGAAATATAGACGATTCGGCTGTGATCCAACACGCGAACCTAGTGCGGATATTCGGGTACTAACAATTTCAGATGGAGTCGAGATTAACGCCTTAACGTGCCTTCCGAAGCGGGGAGGAGCTCAAGAATAAGAATAAGTTTTTTGCCAACCATCCAATGACCGACCAGTTGGATCGAGCTCTATGATTACAAACAACGAAATAGTTATCAGCTAAATTTATATTGGTAATTTAGTTTTTCAGTATTATGTGGCACAATAATAAAATAAATATTTCCAACACTCACACCAATTAGCCTAGCCCCAAAGTAAGCACTATAAAAGGCTTGTGTTATGGGATGCTAGGGTAACGGATAGAATATATATACTGTACATATATAAGTATATTTATATAAATACATATTAAACATCCATGACTGGAGTACCGGGATTCGAACCCGGGACCTCGAGTCGGCGACACCATAAAACCCGGCGTACAAACCACTCGGCCACGGAGGTCGTCAAGATATAATGGATTTTACTTTTATAATGGTATCGATTCTGACATGATTCTCTAAACTTAAAACTAAATTTAATATTAGTCTCTCCTTTTCATTCTGTATAGAGAATGACAAGGATACACTGATGTCAAATTTAAGTTGAGTGCCAGAATCGTCACCAATAGCTAGCTAAAATGTAGTTACGCTTGCATACACGTTTTCTTCTAGATACTCGTACATTACGTGAACAAGTCAGCAGACCACTAACAGCTAAATTGATTGGCTAATAAAAGGCCGGGCCCAGCTTTACGCCTTGCCGGATTAACATTATGACCGATATTGCCATAAACGAGAGGGAGGAGAGGCCCATCAACAGGAAAAGTAAATTGATTACGACATCGAGTACACAAAGTTATATTTTTTTTTAAATCGATGTAGCGAAGTAGGGCAAAGAAAGTTTTCCGCTCGATTGGAGTGATCTGCCTGTTGTATATGGATACAACGTCGTGCTTGACGTTACTATTTTAAATATTTTTAGGGTTCCGTACCTCAAAAGGAATAAACGGAACCCTTATAGGATCACTTAGTTGTCCGTCCGTCCGTCTGTCAAGACCGTTTTTCTCAGGAACGCGTGGAGGTATCAAACTGAAATTCATATCTAATACCCATGTCTACTGTCCCTTGGAGCTGTGATCAAAAGTCAAAAAATCAAACTTCTAAGCCAAAGCAATCAAAAGATACAGCCGTTTATGCCGTAAATTTCCGCAAATTTTCTAAACTCGCACGGGAATCAAAACCTACAGAGTAGTTCCCGTGAACTTAGAATCTTGAAATTTGGTACGAAGTAACGTCATAAAGTACAGATTTTATAACATAATTAAAATTCCAAACGAAAAAAACAATTTAGTGGTGTTCAATGGGAAAACAGGGAAACACACTCCTCGGTAATACAGCCTTGGGTCTTTACACTCATCATCATCAGCCTATCAATGTCCCCACTGCTGGGACAAAGGCCTTCCCTATGGATGGTATAGGGAGATTGGGCCATGACCCACCACGCGGGCCCAGTGCGGATTGGCGGGTGCTAACGACTGCAGATGCAGCCAAAGGCTTAACGTGCCTACCGAAGTACGGAGGAGCTCGAGATAGTAAATTTTTGATCACCCATCCAATGACCGACCACTGCGAAAGTTACTTAACGTCAAAGATCGCAGCCGAACGCGCTAACCACTTGCGCCATCGAGCTCCTCAGGTCTTTACACTAAAATTAACTAATTACAAAAAGATGGCGAAAGAAGAATTTAGTAGCCTATAAATATTATCATCAGACTATTAATCTCTCCTTGGGCCTTGACTCACCACGTGGCCAGTGCGGATTGGTGGGTGCTAAAACTGTAGTTGCAGCCGGAACCAAAGTCTTGTCGTGCCTTCGGAAGCACGGAGGAGCTCAATATAACATAATTTGGTCACCAATGCTCTGGCCCATTCTGCCTATCCTATTCATAGTGAAGGCCTGTGCCTCAGTTTTGGGGACATTAATAGAATGAGGATTCGCAGTTCAATGTATGTATTTGTATATGAATATGTATAACAGATACAGGTCCGGGTAGTGGCCACAACAGAGAAAAAAACGGACAAGTGCGAATTGTCCGTTTTTTTCTTGATTTTATCACAGCTTCAAGGGACCGCAGACTTGAGTAGTTCTGTTTTAAATTTCAACTCGATATTTATAAATTTTGTATTTATTTGGAACATTTTTTTTATAGCTACGTAGGCAAATGACTCTGCCGCACTTGATGTTAAGTGGTGATCAGTGCTGTCATATCTACCAACTTTTTGGTAGATCTACCAATTTTCACTTCAGTCTACCTATCTACCACCCTAGACCTAAAAACTACCTATTTTTATTTAGTTTGACATATTACCACTGAATTATTTTTATATCGACGAGCGACGTGCGATGTATTGCGTGAGCCAGGCAACGAACAAGCATACATAGAGTCCAGGCCATAAACCATAAAAAAAAGTCAGTAACAGTTCGCCATGAGTTCGACGTTCGCGCCCATATTTTACTATTCCTACTGTGGCCTATTCCCGGTTGGTTTGTTGCGGACTCAATGTTGAATCTTTGCTCCTGTTTTATTGTAAAAACTAATTAACTGCGTATTAACGGTGTTGATTGCTGTTTGTTCTATGTTGCGTGCATTTATTTATATAATGGAATCTGACAGCAGCGAAAGCGAAGCACATAGTTCTACGTTAGGAACTCCGCCACGAAAACCTAGAAAAATGGCACTATGACCAAAAATATTCGAAATTATGGGAGAAAGACAAGGAATTTGCAGGTTGGCTTCAAGAAATTACTAAGGGTGACGGATATTTTTATTGCGAGTCATGTAGGTGTGATCTGAAGTGTCTCTGCATTGCATTGCATGCATTTTTAATCTTAAAGTCTTCTAAATTGAGGTGGTAGATCTACTAATTTTCTATTTTACATTCTACCAACTTCTACCAACATTTGGCACATAATCTACTAATTTTCTAAATTTCGGGTTGGCAGCACTGGTGGTGATAGACTCCAGAAGCGTCTTTGCTTCTTCTTTAGTCTATAGCTAGTACAGCAGTTATTAACCACATCCACCATCTTCACCTTGCCGGCCTCCAGAAATGCTTCTTCACGCCTCTCTTAAAGGACCCCAAATTTTAGGAAGGGGGGAACACGTGCGCGGACAAAGAATTCCACTTGCGAATAGTACGACAAAGAAATGATTCACCAAATTCTTCCTTCGTGTAGGAATAGTGGCCACAGTAAGTCGGTGGCAATGTAGGCCAGCGCGCGTGGTCCTCTGAAGAAAAGGTGATGGAGGGACAAGCGAGAATAGCTCCTCAGAACACTCGCCGTGGTATAGTCGGTAGAATGCGCTTAATGATGCCACATCGCGGCGAAATTGTACAGACTCGAGTTTGTTAGTTACCTCTTCATAGCCAGTGATGCGGGCAGCGCGCCGCTGCAACCTATCCAAGGCATCGAGTAAGTACTTAGCGGAGCCATCACAGAGGTGCGAGCAATATTCCACGCAACACTTGCGTTTTGTACAACAAGCACAGTTGATCAGGCGCCAAAAAACGCCGCACCTTGTTCATGACTCCGAGTTTGCGAGAAGCTGTTTTGATTACGGTATAGATGTAGTCCTATGGATTCAGGTCCGACGAACTTAAATACCGAGCATGGTTATATTGCTCTGTAGCGCCAGTTTTGTGACCTGAAGAAAGGAATGACGATGTTTTTGCCGTGAAAGCGACAAACTGGGTTTTCTTAGCATTGAACACAACCAAGTTCCTGGTACCCCATTCGGAAATGAAGTCCAAAGCCTGATTGAGTTCAGTGACAAGATTCTCCTGTTTCTCCTTGGTTTCTACCTGTCCATACGCTTGTCATTGTCGTTTTTTTTTTCATTTTATGAAATCAGA